ACCAGAGAGAGGGAGTCCCACCCTAGAGCTCTGGAGACTTTGGAGCTCACAGCAGCCAACACCAAACAGAGAGAATCCACAGTAGTTATTAGTCACCACTCAGGGATGGAGACTCAAAGCTGTAAGCAGAGACCGGGAACACAGTGGACCTCAGGACTGGGAGAGCTGGCTCTGTTGTAGCCAGGATGGGATGTCTGTGTCTAGCAAGAGAGGGCTTGCAAGGGCAGACAGGATTAGCTCTTTGACAAATGTCATAGGCTGGGAGTGAACTGAAGCCCAGGAAATTGGGTTGGGTTGAAGACTGGATGAAGTATGGCTTGTCCCATTGACAGGGGACTGAGCCAGATGGAGAACCTTCCCTGCTAGTGAGACAGAAGAAGGAGATGGAGAGGAAGAGGAAGGAGGAGGCAACAAAAAAAAAAAAAAACAGAAGAATGTATGGGTTTGGGTCTTAGAAGGACCCAGTGAGGCCCTGAGATACCATGGCAGCATGTGAAAACCAAGACTTATAAGCCTAGTCACCTCTACCAGAAACACCAGTTCCAACGATGTCCATTTCCTGGCCGTACCTCCTCTCTATGAATAATGCCTTGTCTGTACTGTGTCCCCTGTGAATAGTCACTTTTGATTGATTGGTAAGTAAAGCTTATGCCAGCTATCTAGCAAGAACTCTCAGACCCCAGCCACGCATTGGCTAGGCATTTAAAACTCCCCTTCAGTGCTGGCTTTGATGTCAAAGCAAAAGGACCCTGAATCATCCAAATTACAGTTTAGCCCTCTCTCATTGTAAATTAGTCACAAGGTCCATATTGATCACCGTTAGATTTACAGTCAGTGGGCTAAAAAAAATCATAAAAGTTTGACATTGTGAAGGTATTCCTACCTTTATGTCTCAAGGATTATAGATTATACTGTGAAGACACTGTCTTCAAAGTATCAGATGTCCCTGTGCAAGTGGTGAGCTTAACAGGACCAGGTGGCATAGTCTCAGGGACAGGCTAGGTATCTAAAGTGAGTGTCTAGGCTGTCACTGATAAAATCTTAGACAAGGCACTTTATGCCTCCCTGAATCCCAAGTTTCACAAAACCTATGTTTTATTTTGACACAGGGTCTCATTGCAAGTTTCCCTTGACTAAACTCACTGCAAGGCTCAGGATGACCTTGAAGTTCCAGACTGCCCCTCCACCTCCTCTGTGCTGTATTTAGGTGGGGCCTCCTGAATGCCAGGCAGGCACTTCATCAACCCAGTCACATCTCCCGCTCATTCAAGTTTCATAACTTACGTATTCATCAGCATGGTCTTCTAGCTGTCCAGGCTAGTCTTGAACACCTAGACTAAAATGATCCTTCTGCCTCCATCTCCAGCTGTAGCTAGGACTACAAGGGGACATCAGTGTGCCCATCCTAAATGAAATGCTCTCTTGAGCCGAGGAACTATTTTCAAATCTACTCTACAGACACTGTGAAACAGATAGGCTCATGTGAGTTCGAGCTACACAGTGCATTCTAGGTCCATGTTGTCGGTAGAGGGAGACCCTGTTTCCTAAAACCAACCAAAGGGCTGCAGAGATGTCTAGGGAGTTAACAGCACTGGCTGCTCTTTTAGAGGACCCAGCTTCAATTCCCAGCACTCACAAGACAGCTCACATCATCTGTTCCTGCAATCCTAGGGGCTCTGTTGTTCTTTTCTGATCTGTGGGTACCACACATGTGTTGCACACAGGCTACATGCATGCAAAAACATACATGCACCTAAAAGTAAATATTTGTATAAAAGCTAAGCAAATAAACAAAAACAACACGCAGACATACTCAGGCACTCGGACACAGACAGACATGCACACATGCACATGTGCACACACACATACACTCACTCTCTCACACACACGTGCATGCACACACACACTCATGATCCAGATTAAAGGTTGCTTCTTTGAATCCGAACTGTGGCTACTGAGCTAGTCTGGCTTTACCCCACAGCTGCTGTGCTATACACAGTCAAACACCTGTACACAGCCTGAAGGTCTCGGGCTCCCTGAGACCCACTTCCATAACCAGAGGATGCCCTTCTTTTTAGGTGAGGTTCCTTATCCGTTTGGATGGAATGAAGTCTGTAGAGTCATACTGATTGGGGTTCAGATTCTGGCTTGTTCACACCCCTAGCTGTGTAATGAATGTCGTGGGTTGGATCTGCAATACCACCCAGAGGCTTCCATGCTACAAAGGCTTAACGGCCGGCCTGTGGTCCTCTTGGCCTTCACGTGCAGGGCCTAGGGAAGGGCATCATGTCACCAGGCTCACACTCTTGAAGTTGGCACGTGGCCCTTAGCAACTTCCTCCTTTGCTCCTTTTGCTTCTCGGTGTCTTTAGGCAAGATGCCTTAGTCTGCCGCACCATGATATTCCAACCCAGCAACGGGCTTCCTTCAAGCAACATAACCAAGCCAGCAGGGGTGGGAATCTGTGACCCCATAGTGAATTGTTGTCTCTCAGAGGACTCAATCATAGAGATGGAAAATGGGCTGCCATGGCCAGACCTGTTTTCCCCATTGGTAAAATAAAGATTAAAATGATTGTGTTTGGGGGATGTTGGTGGGTTAAGAATGCTCATAGGGAGGCAAGGGTGACAGGTCGCTCAGTGGTTAGGACTGCGCTTTCCCAGAGCCTGCTTTCCACCCAGCACCCACACAGTGGCTCACAACAGTCAGGAACTGCAGTCCGAGCCCTCTTCTGCCTCCCAGAAATGCTGCACTCATATGGGGCACTGACATTCAGGTAGGAAAAACACCCATACATACAAAATAATCAAATGATAAAAGAACATTTTTTTTCAAGGGTGTTCATTAGGGCTATGGCTGCCTCACCACCACCAGTGAAGACCTGGGTCCCGGGCCTCTCTAAAATACAAAACAAAAATACATGAGCACATCTAGCCCTAAAACCCAAACACTCAAGTTGATGCTGAAATTCTTTAGAACCTGAATTGGTTTTGATTGTTCCAAATTAGAGGAGGCGGGGAAGTTCTTCTAATTCACTGAGCATTCTGTATGCGCCGGAGAGCATGTACTGGGTAGAAACAAGCTCGAGTCTCCTAAATAACAGGATGGAGCTTCCAGCCACCAGACGTGGAATTTAAAGCATGCTGCTTTGGTCAAAGAATAACAGAGGAAATGTCACCAAGAACATGTTAATAAAAAGCCCAAAGAAGGCTCTATTCACCCCACGTCACGAGAGGGAGAGCCGTTGCCATTTCTACACAGGTTCCCTAAAATGCATCCCCAAGTGTGTTAGTGTGGAAAAATCCAAGTTTCAGGGGATTGTATGGAATAAGCTGTATTGTACTTCGTCTCTTTTTAATTATACTGATTTATTTATATATGTCAGGGGGCAGAACTTGCAGAGGTCAGAGGGGAGCTTGCTGAAATATTTTCTCTCCTTCCACAATGGGTTCCAGGGATGGAACTCAGCTTGCAAGGTGCAAGGGTTAGCAGCAAGGGCTTTTACCAACTGTCATGCCACTGGGTCATAACTTGTTCTTTATGGACATCTTCTGTGAGTAGCAACAGCTTCACAGATGCTAGTTGCCCTGTCCCTCTCCATCTTATGTCCTGAAGAAAGGCAGCTCAAACTGCTGTTCCCCTAAATGTGCAATAAAAGCTGTGCCTCTGTTTTTGCTAGTGCAAGCCTGAAACCAAGGGTCTCGGGTGTGCTAGGCCAGGATTCTTCCTGGTACTGAGCATATCTCAGCCTCTCCCCTTTAAACATACAAACACTTTCAACCATCCAAACAAGTGAAGGGGGCCATCAACCCTCACCAATCTATTACACATCTCCAACAACCAAGATCTGCACTCATGGGGGGGATGCTCTTGCATAACTCCCAAGATACCGGTAACCTAATTCAATGCTACCCAGGCTTGGTGGCTCACACCTTTAATCCTAGCACTGGGAAAGCAAAGGCAGGTGGATCTCTGTGAGTTTTGAGACAGCCAAGGCTATAATGAGACCTGATTTCAACCAAATTCAACGAACTCATCATGCTTCTGATATTCTTGAGGCTCTGATTCACGCCACGGACACCAACAACACGGCTTCCCAAACCTAGGAAGAAGTAGGTTTGGGATAGCTGGTGAGCTATGGTACCCAAAAGCAGTGTCAACAGCAGGACGAGAAAAATTGAGTGAGCTTTTTCAGGAGACCAGAGATTTGAACTGGCAGATGGTGTGAGTGAGGCTTGGGATACAAAGACTGCTAAATCCACCTTTTGGACGTGATTCTCCTAAGATGCTGCCCTGTGATGATACTGGAGGGCGGCGCTGGAAGTGAGAAATTAGTGTGCAGACAAAAGTTGTGGGCTTTGAATGACAGGACGGGAGCCTTCACACAAGGGGGATTGTCACGGGCCGGATAATAGTAGTCTAAAGAAGATACAGTAGCAAGCTGAGGTGCGGACTGTGGTGGGGAACTTTCTCAGATGACCCCGGCTGGCTGGTTGGGCTCACAGAGAAAACAACTGAGACCCAGACAGGCTTCAGAGGACTCCACCGAGTCTGGGAGACTCAATGCAAACCGCCATTAGGCAAAGGTAACCGGGAATCATGAGAACAGCACCGGGTCCGGGTCTAAGAATGATTGGTGTTTACTAAGTGCTGGCCTCCGGAACGCCTGGCTTTCCGAAGCCCACGTCTTCCTCATCCATTCCATCCTGCCACAGGCGGCTACTGTACCGGGTGCTCCAGGCGCCAGAACCACATGCCTGGAAACCCTGACTGCCTTCCCGCCCCTCCCCTCCCCTCTCCTCCCCTCCCCTCCCTGCCGGCCAGCTGCAGCCCAGTTTGTTTGTGGAGGTTTGCATACTCCTATTGGGGTTGCCTTTTTTTTTTTTTTTTTTTTTTTTTTTTTTTCCAGTCAGTTCAGCGGTGTCCCGAAATTCACCCCCAGTGGAACTTCTTCCTCTGCTCCTCCTCTTCTTGGAACTGCCTTTTGTTTGTCTGGCAGAGCTGGGTCTATGGGGGTGTGTGATGATAATAATACGCAGGCCTTATATAACTGCATCTTGCAAAGCACTTCGCAGACAGTCCCCAATGAATCTTGGAGCTGGTGTCAGGCTGGGGCAGCTTTATCTGCAAGTTGGAAATCCGAGGCCCAGAGGCCAGGAGGGAGGAGGGCGGTGGGGATCAGAGGCCAGGCCTCCCAGGCTCCTGGAGCCCCTCAGAGGTCAGGGCGATAAGGAACAATGAGTTTCCCATTCTGGAGGAGGAAGGAAGTCCCGCTGCCACCTAATCTCTGCCCCCCTGCCTCCTCCCTGCTCCCAGAACCTTTTCTCTGGAGAGGACTTTGAAGGCGGCTTCTGTAAGTATGGTGATCTTTTCCTCGGGGAGAAGGCAGGCTTCCCTTCCTGCCTCTTGGGCAGTTGGTGTTTTTATGATCTTATCCCTACTTGGGACGACTAGATGATGGAAAACATGTCTCTGGCCAAAGTCCTCCACCCTCCCAGTTTGTCCTACGGATAATAAGGGGGACAAGAGGTTTCAGCTGATAATTCACTTGACAAAATAACATCCAGAAGGGGCGCTTAGACTGACCCTTGGGGGCATTCTAGCCCAGCCTAGTCTGGCTGTGTGCATGGGGTGCCCAGCCCTCACAGGAAGGAGCCGGGTTATGCAGTTGGCTTATTAGACCACAGAGGCTGAGACTGTTTTGATCTTCAGTTTCTCTGTCCTGACTACTCAGAATTTCAGGTAAATAGAATTGTTGGACATTTCTTTTTACACTTATGAAATAAATGTCAACTTTCACAGGAGGCCCAAAACTTGCACTGGCTCTACAAACTGTAACAAACACTGTGACTTCCGTGGGCGTGTTCGGTTTTATTAATTTTTTTTTCACTGCAGGACCAAAGGGTTTTAATATTAAAGGAGCATGGACAAGAGCTTCTTAAGCTCTGGCAAAGCCCAAAGCCAGATTATTAAACTCGGTTTCCATTTTTAAAAAATGCTACATTCATGAAATATTCAGCTCAGGGGTGATGTTTGTGACTTTTAGAGGTGACCTCTCCACAACCCTGTGGAGCAATAGAAGGAAGATGTAAATTCTGAACAGGTAGAACTATTATTGTTAGTTGAACAAGCCAAGGAAATAAAGTTCTGTTGGAGGTAGTTGTACAATTTGCATTTATAAAACCATGACTGTATCTCATCATATCATGGAAAATGGAAAGGTATTATTGCTTGGTACTGTTTCAGGGAAGAAAATTAAGAAAGGTGTAAGAATGTCTATCTTTGGATGCTCTAAGTGCTGTGATTAATTCACTGAACTGTTGTTACTTTAGACAGACATAAACATTTACCCTGTATGAGAGAGTTGTGTGTATATGTGTGTACATGTCTGTTGTATCTACCTAGCTCTCTCTGTTTTACATGTTAGTATGATATGCAAAATGGACCAAATGAAATTTTTTTTATCAAGTTTCACATTGTGATAGTTATTCTCTATTTAACAAACATTGGAAACATAATGGAATTGTGTCTGTTTTAAAGGTTTTCTTTAAGTCATATGTGCTGCTCCATGGTTGTAATCCAAGCATTTAGAAAGCTAATCCTGGAGGATTGTGAGTTCAAGGCCATCCCAGGATACAAAGGGAGCTCGTGTCACAGAATTAAAAAAAAAAAGAAAAAGAAAAAGAAAGAAAGAAAGAAAGAAAAAAGAAAATGATAGTTCTCTTTCAAATTATCTGTGGCTCTCAAGAAAGTCTAAGATGTAATTAAAGCTGAGCCCTGGTTATTTTACCTGTAAATTTGATCAGGTCCATCAACACTGAATGCTAGGCTCTAGGAAGATCAGCCCCACTATCTCCATCTTATCCTCCCTCACAGCAGAAGGGACACAGACAGATAGGAGGCAGATCTGTGTTCGTCGGCAGTCACCTGAGGACCAGTAGCAAAACCTCTGTGACATAAGACCAAAGCTGTCCCCAAGAGAGAATGTTGAGAAGCCTAAAGTAATTTAGGAAGAGTATCCAGCACAGGAAGTAATATAGGAAGAGTATCCAGCACAGGAAGTAATATAGGAAGAGTATCCAGCACAGGAAATGATATAGGAAGAGTATCTAGTACAGGAAATAATATAGGAAGAGTATCCAGCACAGGAAGTAATATAGGAAGAGTATCTAGCATAGGAAGTAATATAGGAAGAATATGTAACACAGGAAGTAATATAGGAAGAGTAAGTAACACAGGAAGTAATGTAGGCAAAGTGTCTAGCACACCCGTTTGAACATAGCACTGGCTCAGTACATTTTGAAGCTTTCCCATTTATTCTTGTTTTCATCTTTTATTTTTATTGCCATGCAGTAGAGGCACATGATGCCTATAATCCCAGCACTTGGGAGGCAGAGGCTGCTGGGTCTCTATGAGTTGGAGACCAGCCTGGTTTACAAAAAAAGAAAAAAAAACAAACAAACAAAAACAAAACAAAACAAAAACTTTATTTTTGTTTAGATATGTGCCTGCCATGGGTTTCTGAGTGCCCATGGAGGCCAGAAAAGGCCAGTGGGTCTCTTGGAGCTAGAGTTCCTAGTGATTCTGAGCCACCTGGTATGGATGCTGGGATCTGACCTTGGGTCCTTTGGGTTCTTTGGAAGAGTAAGTGGTCCTTCCTAACCACTGAGCCATCTCTCCAACCCCTGCTTTTGTTTTTGACCTCACTAGTGGGTGGATGACATGCTGTGTTAAGCAGTAGCAATGTCCAAGTCTTGACTTGGAAATGTCTTGACTTGGAAAAGTTGTTGATCTAGGAAACAGACCAAAACAACATATGATCGCATCACTGTTAACTTTTATATCTGCAAACAAAGCATTGAGAAACTGTACCCAACTCAGGATGGTACTTTTGTCTCAGGAAGTCAGGGACTTTTCACGAGGTGATGGTGATGATCTGGGTTTCAAAGAATAGGGTGCTGATACAAAAGAACCTTCCAGAAGGGAAGGTCACGCCAATAGAACAGGAGGTATAGGCAAGTCTGTGAAAAAGAACTGAGTATTAAGTCTGAGAGAGTTACTCCAGTGTGATGGTGTGCCCCATGAATTCTAATGGCACACACACACCCACAGACCAGCTTCTGAACAGTGTTATTTCTAGTTCTATCAAGATGAGGAGTGTGGACCATTGCTAATTTATTACATCACTAAGACATTGGTTCTATGGACAGTGTAACTTCTTTGGGCTGCTGTGTTTACATCAAACCCAGGTTAGTGAGTGATGCAGCCATCTGTAGCCCAGCACTGCAACTCCTCCATGTCCATCATTTTGGGGGTCTGATTTTTATCCAAAGGAGAGAAAAAAAAAACTTATAAATTGTGTAGAGCTGAGAAATAGAAAGTGATGTGACTCATACAATATTCTTGATTGTTTGTGTTTGCAGTACAGGGGATGAAGTCTAGGACCTTCTGATGCCACAGCTATACTCCAAGACCTAGAAAAGCTTTCTATAGGTCTCCTAGCAACCGTGTGAAGTGTGGCCAGCAAGTGGAAATTTACAAACTAAAGAACAGTAAGGAGACTTCTGTGTCCAGATGTGAAGCCCCGAGGCCTGACTGTGAAGGTGTACAACAGACTAAGATTCCAGGCCTATTTAGAAGGTAGAACATTCTTGACTTGGACCTGGATGCATGGAATGAAAGGACAAGAAACTTGTACTATAGTAGTTTCAGATGCAGGCAGCTGAGTAGCTAGCATTAGGGAGACACAGGGGAACAAAAGTAAGTATGAGCAGAGAAGAGAGTTCATTGTCGGTGTTGTTAGTAAGGGATTGTGTCAGTAAATAAAGAGGGGTGTGTGTGTGTGTGTGCACGTGCACTCGTGAGTGTAAGCCAGCGCACAGCCATGGTTCTTCCCCCTCAGCCCACTGTGTTCACCTTGTTTTGCTTTGTCTTTGAGACAAGCTTTCTCACTGTGACCTAGAACCCACCACTCAGGCAAGGCTGGCTGGCCAGTCTGCTCCGGGGACCCTCCCAGTGCTGGTATCACAGACTCACCACCACTGGGCTTGGCTTCTTAATGTGGAACCTGAGGATTGATCCCAGGTTCTCACGCCATCAGGGCGAAGAGCTTGGCTGACTGCGTCTCCCTGCCACATCTCAAGAACAGATTTTTAAGAGTGTAACATTGACAGGTTTTCCTCTATGTAATTTTGAGTAGAAATGTGAAGACTAAGCCCTCTTATGTCTTAAGGTTCCCAACAAACATCTGTATCCTAGCTCACTGGACTTCATGCATGCTTGGTCTTGTCTGCTGAGTTGTGTTCTCATTAACTTCAAAAGAGGAAGGCCGTGATCTTAGTGTGCCCATTCAGGGATCCAGGGATGAATGTTTATTCACAAGCCATCAGCACTGAGCAGATTTCTCTGGTATCATATACTCATATACTCAAAAAGCAGTCCTCTTCGCTCATGGAAAAGAAAGCTTCGGCTTCGGTGGCTTTCACTTATGTACAGGCCCCACCCCAAGACCCAAACAACACTTCCATTTCCTTACCTGGCCTAGGAGAGGTCTGCAATAATTTCTCCTAAATACCACCAGCAAGGCCCTGCCATTCTCCAGTATAGTATGGAGATACAGAGTGACATTCAAATTTTATTTCTTTTTTTTTTTCAAATTTATTTCTTTTTATTTTGTGTACATTGGTATTTTGCCATGGCTGTTGGGTCCCTTGGGACTGGAATTCCACACAGTTGTGAGCTGCCATGTGGGTGCTGGATATTGAACCCAGGCCCTCTGGAAGTGCAGTCAGTGTTCTTAACCACCGAGCCATCTCTCCAGCCCTGTAATTTATTTCTTTAAAGACTTAGTCTTATCATTTTAGGTAAAAATTGTGTGTGTTTGTGAACATAGGGAATGCACACAAGGCTGGAGTCCTTGGACCCTCTGGAGGAGAGTTTCAGGGTGGTGGTGAGCTGTGATGTGGGAGCTGAGAACAGAACTCGGGTCCTCTGTGAGAGCAGTAGAGCTTAACCTCTAAGCCATCCTCCCAGCGCTGGCGATTGGGAATGTTAACATTGTAAGCACACAGAAAGACCTACTTAACAGACAGGAAGCTGCGACTTTTCAATCTCGGGATCTGATTTCTTGATAGGCTTGGGTTTCTCAACCCCTTTCACCCTTTCTGAGCTCAGCACTTAATCTTCTATGGCAAAGCATCTCAGATTTCCTGGATTTCTGAGCTCTCACCCCACCTGAACACGACAGAGCAAATGCCATTGATTATGAAAGAGACTTAGCCCCAGACACTGTGGCTCAGCTTGTAAACGTGTATAAGATTTCCTCTCAGTAGTTTAAGCACAGATTCAGGAAGT